AGCTAGCTTCTCCTTCAGCTAGCTTCACCCTCAGCTACCTTCACCCTCAGCTAGCTTCTCCTTCAGCTAGCTTCACCGTCAGCTACCTTCACCCTCAGCTAACTTCTCCTTCATCTAGCTTCTCCTTCATCTAGCTTCCCCTTCATCTAGCTTCCCCTTCATCTAGCTTCCCCTTCATCTAGCTTCACCCTCAGCTAGCTTCTCCTTCAGCTAGCTTCACCCTCAGCTACCTTCACCCTCAGCTAGCTTCTTCTTCGTCTAGTTTCTCCTTCAGCTAGCTTCTCTTTTAGCTAGCTTCTCCTTCATCTAGCTCTTCTGTCGGCTAGTTTTTCCCTGGGCTAGCTTCACCCTTGGCTAGATTCAGCTAGCTTCTCCCTCAGCTAGTGTCTCCTTGACATTTCTCCATAACCACAAGTCTAAAATGCAGCAGAAAGACATTAATTCTGCTCCATTCCTCCTACCTTCTTCAGCTGTCCGCTTCGGGTTCCCACAAACACCACAGTGTCGTTTCCGTAGGTGTAGGCGGCCACAGCGCCCATGCCCTCGGTCCGGTCCTCGTACAGCGGCTGTCCCTCGATCACCCTCAGGCCTCCCAGCGGCTGGTTCAGCACCAGGCCGCAGAAATCATCCCCGATCTGCTTTGGCTGTGGAGACATGAAGATGGAGAAACCAGGATTAGATGTCAGGAGGAGTCATGGTGACGTCCATGTAGGCTGAGAGACTCTCCCCTTCCTGCCACCATAATCAATAAATCAATCAATGACATGACAAATTAAAACAAGCTCCATAATTAAGGGTAGAGTTAGGGTGACCCTAACCCATAAAGCGATTTAATAACAATGAAAAGTTGCCATTTTGAAAAATGCTCTTCAAAATGAGTTTGCACTACCTGCCCCTTTGGCCTGTTTTTCCTGTCCTGGCTGAATGATAATGTTTTTAAAACACAATTTTGGTTACACAAACTTCATTATTTATTTTAACTATTGTTTCAGTTTTTGTTTATTTATTTTGAATATTTAAAATATTTTAAATATTTAGTAAAATGTTCTTTAAGTTTTTGATTTCAGAGGATTTCTGTCTCACTTTTCCAGAATTCCAGGAGATTCTGGGAACGCCAGGCTGATTTTAGCACAAACATCAATTTAAATATGAAGTGACTGCGTGAAACATCAGGAACTAGTGGAGCTCCAGGAACCTCCAGGTCCGTGGAGCTTCCTGTTCATGAGTCAAGCAGCGAAGCAAAGTCCATCTTTTCTAAGCCATGATCCTGGTTCTCTGCAGGCGGAGCTGGAGCTCCATGTCAGGAACAGGCTGATGACATTCCTGGTAAATTTCAGGTTTCCTTCCACAGTTCAGAGAGAATGAAGCAGGGAGGAGCCAAGTTATTAAAGGCTGTGCAGACCCAGCTAGAGGTCGGCTAACACCCTGTCATTACCGAGTTAAAGCCGCGCTGCACCACACAGGAAACTCTGAACCGAAGCAACAGCTCTTCTTCTTCCACACAGAGGACCTTCAGTAACTTCCTCAGTTCAACCAGAAACACATTAAAATAAGAATAAATCCAGAAGCTATAGCAGCTGCTTTCAGGTCCGATCCATTCAGTTTCATCTCATGATCCCTGATTGTTCATTTCAGTTACAGTGTCTCTATATTTATTGATATTAATGAAAAATAGGTTGCAGGTGTTATAAGTTTTTTAAGCTTAAAGGGATCCAAAATTAGTTCAACTTTATTTGGGAAATATTTATTTTAGATGTAAGAACAATACAGTAATAGTACTGTATGTTATTTAGTTTTTATAAATGTCAATAAAACATTGTCACATCCATAGACATGAATACTAGACGCCTCACTGATCGCCGAGTCGTAGGTAACAGCGTCCGCCATGTTCTATGTGCAGCAGAGGAGCGGAGCTCCTTCAGTCCTGTTCTGTGTGTTTCAACCGTTTTACGAAACAAACTGGATTCATTGGCTTTACCTTTCACAGGTCAGGATGAAAGATCAGAATTACTTTGCAGCCAGAAATTCGCTTCTAAACAACCGAAAAATATTTCCTATGTAGCTTAAGTGGCCCGAAGTAACTGCTGAACTTGCTAAAACGGTATTGTGTAACATTAAATCATGTCTGGCTGCAACGGTAGTGATGGCA